GTAACCTCATAAGTATCATCAGCATCATCATCATCATCATCATCATCAGCATCAGCATCATCCTCATCATCCTCATCACTCATCATCATCCTCATCATCACCATCCCCGTCGTCGTCGTCATCGCCATCATCGTCGGCATCGGCATCGTCATCGTCATCGTCGTCGTCGTGGTGATGGTCATCGCTCCTCCTGTTCCGTCCTCCTCCTGCTCCTCATCCCCCCGCCTACTACATAATCCGACTCGTCGTGGTGTTCCATCCATGTTCCCTCATCCCTACCTCCCTCGCTCTGGTCGTCATCCTGCGTCTCCTCCTTGCACCTCATTCCTGCATCGACCCCCCCACCTTCCTCATCCGCCCCTCTCCTCATTCTTCATCACTTCTTCCTCATCCTAAGCCTTCGCCAGATCATATCGGCATCCGCCCTCCCCATCACCATTGTGACCACCACCGCCATCATCATCAGCAGCAGCAGCATCCCCCATGTCCTCTTCCCATCTCAATCCCACCAGCCCTCTAGGCGTAGGTAGCTGAACGAGGAGTTGTGTCGTCTCGCCCACTTCTCCCCCTGCTCGGGGGAGGGGGTTACCCCTCCCCTACCCCTCCCCTGAGCCTGGGATCGGGAGGCGGGTACGTCGAGTTTCAAGATGGCTCTCAGAGGGCCCTCGGCAGCCAGAGGCGGCCTCCAAGACGGATGAAGGTAGCAGAATATGGTTCAATCTAGCATCCTACATGCCCCCAGGGGCCCCAAAACAACCCCAAGACGGTTCCACGTGCCATTCGAACCGTCCTAGGCACCCTCCCAAAGGGCAAAACCCTTCGAAGACATTAGGAACATCAAGGTGCTGTGCCTTCTCGCAATGTCGCTTCCGATGGGCTTCCGAGGCCGTAACATGGCCCCAAGATGGCCAACGAGAGCCCCAAGAGGGGCTCAAGAGCGCCCGAAAACGGCCCCAAGAGCGCCCAAGAGCGGGCCTAGAGGGCACCAAGACGCCATGATTGAGTCTCCGAGGTGAGGGGGGGGGGGCTAGTTGACTACCCAACCCCCTCTGTTCGAGCCATGAAGGCCAAGAGGCCTCCCACCCCTACGATGCGCCCCAAGAGGGCCCCAAGACCATACACGAGCCTCGCGAGGGCCCCAAGAATGCCCCAAAAGGCCCCGCGGGGACCCCAAGAGAGCCGCCTTACCCGCCCTTCAAGAACCACTCCTGATTCCTCGTCCTCATCGTCTTCCCCCTCGTCCTCCTCTCCATGGCTTCCCCCTCTTCCTCCTTTTCCTCCTCGTCCCCCTCCTCCTACCCCCAAGATGGTCCGAGGAGATCGCGCATGGCTCAAGATAGCCTCCAGTGGACCTCCCAAAGGCCCCAAGACAGCCTCAAGATGGCACCCGATAGCTGAGCAAGCATGACTCAAGCTAGCCCCTCGAGAGTTGCTTGCCGAGCATGGCTCAAGGTCGCCTCCACGAGGCCTCAAAAAACCTCCGATCGTGCCTGGGTAGGCTGATGGGGATACGCGTGGCGTCAAGAATGATGACCCCACACACTCCCTACCCGTCGACTTTTATCTACCTCCTCCTCCTCCCTCAGCATCCCCCTCCCTCCTCCACCTCCTAGGGTTCCTCCTCATCCTCCACCTCATCAGCATCACCATCACCATCACCATCATCATCATCATCATCATCATCATCATCATCATCATCATCATCAGCAGCAGCAGCATCATCATCATCATCAGCATCATCATCATCACCACCACCACCATCATCATCATCATCATCATCATCATCATCATGATCGTCGTCATCATCAGCATCATCATCGACAGCACCATCATCATCATCATAATCATCAGCATCAGCATCAGTAACATCATCAGCATCAGCATCTTCAGCATCATCGGCAATAGCATCGTCATCAGCAGCCTCATCATCATAATACTCTTCATCATTGACATGATCATCATCATCGTGTAATCATTCGTCATAGTCAGCACCATGACCATCATCATCATCATCAGCCTCATCACCTCCATAATCCATCACCGTCAGACTCATCATCAAGCAATCCCCTCCTCCTCCTCCTCCTCCTCACCACTATAATCAAACTCACCATCCTCAGCACCACCATCCTAAACATCCTCATCACCCCCTCAACCACCACAACCATCAGAATCATCATCGGCATCAGCAGCATCCACATCATCATCAGCAACATCATAACCATCATCATCACCAGCAGCAGCATCATCACCATCACCGTCATCACCGTCACCAGCACCAACACCATCGGCGCTCATCATCATCATCATCATCATCATCATCAGCAGCAGCAGCAGCATCGCCATCATTACCTACGCCATCATCGAAATCATGATCATCATCAACAGCATCAGCACCACCATCGCCATCATCATCATCATCATCATCATCATCATCATCATCACTATCAACATCAACATCATCAGCATCATCAGCATCATCATTATCATCATCAGCAGCATGAGCAGCAGCATCATCATTGTCGCCATCAGCATCGCCATCGTCCGCATCACAATCGTCATCATGATCAGCACCATCATTGTCAGCAATAACAACATCAGCCAGCATGGCCATCGCCGTCGTCATTATCATCATTCTCATTATCGCCATCGTCAGCATAATCATCACCGTCATCATCGTCAGTATGATATTCATCCGTATTGTCGTCCTCATCATCATCATCACCATCACCACCATCATCATCACTATCACCACCAGCATCAACAACAACCTCTACATCGACATCGACATCGGAATCGCCATTGGCATCGACATCATTAGCATCATCATCATCACCATCATCATCATTATCATCACCACCACCATCACTATCACTATCATCATCATCATCATTTCCAGAATCATCATCATCATCATCATCATCATCATCATCATCATCATCATCATCATAATCATCAGCATCTTCGTCATCATCATCATCATCATCATCAGCATCATCATCGTCAACAGTTCCTCCCAGCGCACATACGGGAGGACAAGTAGGTGCGGGAGCAGGAGCAGCAGGAAGT